TTATTGCTGAGTATGGTTTTTAAAAAACAAACGTAAAAGTTAACATGTGTAAAAAAAATAATAAGTTGCTACTGAAAACAGCAGCAAAATCTCATATCTGTCTCGGACACAATCATGTAGCTTGAAGACTTGATTCTTTTTTAACAAACTCAGATGGTACCCCTTCCATAACACTAGGTTTGTCACCAAACATTTACTTGAAACTCTGGTACCCTTTATCAATTCAATTAGCTTGGTACCATACTATTAACTTGAAACTCTGGTACCCTTTATCACTTTAAAGCGTGGTATCATACTATTTACTGGAAACTCTTAGGTACCCTTTATCACTTCAAAGCTTGGAACCATACTATTTACTGGAAACTCTGGTACCCTTTATCAATTCAAAGCTTGGTACCATCCTATTTACTTGAAACTCTGGTACCCTTTATCACTTTAAAGCTTGGTACCACACCATCATATATCTCCATAATTCTAGTAACATTCCTAAATAAGTCTAGATTTCAAACCAGTCAAATTTAATTCTAAGTTCTGACAAACACAAGTCATTGTTTGAAAGTTTTAGGTTTTCAACCTTCTTCAAATTTATATTTACAATAATGCCAGAAATCTTACCCAATTTCATTACAAGTTTGGTACCTAGCCCTAAAATTGTTTATACTTTTGACATCTTTTCAAGCCTTAATCCGGTACCCAGCTATAAACAGTATCAGCTTCCAATTTAAAATCTGTTTCATTTATACACAAATGGTTCCCTTTTCTGTCCAGATCATCATAAAATGTATACATAAATAGAGGATATTGAATGAGTGTAAGTTCAATACTGAATTTATTGCACGAGTTGAATAAAATTATATTATGCGAGCCTCTGGCGAGCATAATATTATTTTATTCAACGAGTGCAATAAATTCAGTAATGAACTTACACGAATCTAATATTCTATTTATCACATACCCCAAAAAAGACCGTTAAATGTGAAATAAAAGTCATTTTTCATTGACGCGCCTATAGTATAACGCTAACATTTAGCGCGTCTTTACACTATGTTTGTATAACGTTAATGACGTCACGTCAATATATATGCACGGCCGTGCAATACCATTTTTACGGAGTCACAAAATCGGCACGGGTGTGTGATAAAGAAATCTTACACGCAGTACTTGGTTCATTGAAATGTCAAGGATTTCAGTCTTAAAATCAAAGTACTGCTACCATCATGAATTACTCTGGATTATCTAAATATACAGGAAAAAAAAATCTTTTTCTTTACTTAGCTAAAATCTTGGTTTTGACAATCTGGAATAAGAAAAACAACTCCTTAACAGAATGTGAATAAAAGTTCTATCATGGTCACAAAAATTAAAACACACTGTGTCTAAATGAAACATATTTATCAATACTTAAGAATTCAATATCCCTATTTCATACGTGGGACAGCTCAACTATAGAAATGGCACAAAATTTCAACAAACAAACTCAACTGCCATTGACTTCGTTTTTTAGACATAAAATGGAGGAAAAAATAAAAGTATTTTCCAAATTGATAAAACTGTTTTAAGATTCTCAATTTTATCTGGAAAATTTCCATAAACAGTGAAGATTCTCTTTACAACCTAAACTTTTTAAGCATACGACATCAAAACATTCTAGGTGTAATTTGCTTTTTTTTTTCCAATGCTCTCATCTTAAGAAATAGATCAAGGTTGTTATGTAAAATAGTAAAAACAGTAAAATGAAAATTGTTCCAGGTCAAATATCCAAATTATTTGAGGGAACTGAGTTCCAACATCATGATCTTAGTTATATGGGTAGAATCCGTTGCCACCAGAAGGCAAAGGGTTAAAATATCTTCAAGGAATTAACAATTGTTTTAAGCTACAAACACCGATTTTTTTATTTATTGTTCTTGGAGCTTTTTATTGTTGAAAATTTGTGCTATTTCTCTCAACTTTGGCACAAAACTTCATAAATCCAATCAGATTGTAATCAAATTTGAGCCGCGCCATGACAAAACCAGCGTTTTGCGACCAGCAATGCATCCAGATCAGACTGCGCGGATGTGCAGGCTGGTCTGGATCCATGCTGGTCGCAAACGCACTATGTTGATATTGTCATGGTGCGGCTCATTTTCTATCATTGATAGAAAAAAAAGAATAACTCTTGCATTAAGATTCATTGTGCATAAAAAATAATAAAAAAAATATACAAAGTAAAAAATGGAGTAAAAATGAAGTGCAACATAAAAACAATATTAAACAAGATTCCATAAATGACAAAAATTGCTACAACATAATGTATGACAAATGAAATGGGGGAAAAAAATGAATGGAACTTAAATACATTAAAGCACTTTGTGCTTGTTCCTTCCCTATAACTTGATGAAACAAAATCTTTCTACACCCAATGGCTTACTACAATCTAAATAAATCTATCAATTATTTCCAGTTCATCAAAATCAGAAGTCAATTTTGCAGTGCTCTAAGGTAAATAATATTTTTCCAATTCTCTAATTTCCATATATACATTTAAAAATAAAATATTTTGTACGATCTTAACAAATATTCTATTCCTTGGAAACACAAAGAGCCAAAATGTTGTAAACATATGGTACAACATTAGAATATCAGTGGAACATATTATCTTGACTGGATAAGATTTCTAACAACTAAATATGCCTATACTAGAGTAAATCATTCATGCATGTAATTTATGCACTGCATGGTCAGGCATAGACAACTTAATGTTTGAAGACTATTATAGCAAGACACTTGACTAACAATCTCTTAAATGTTCCTCTATGACTATTTTACAAATCAAAATAATTCCATGAATTATTTACAGTAACATACCTCTCAAGATTCATGCTTATTTTTCAAAATGGTTTAAATTGGTAAAACTTTTGTAAAGTATATAAATAAAGCCAATACACCTACTCTTAATTGTCCAATTAACTATAACCTCTTAAAATATGCAAAAAAAACAAACATGTCTGTATTCTGACAGTAACATGGTAAAATATGATGATAAAGAAACAACAGGAAATCCTGTCACATTTTGCACAACACATGCAAATATCTAATTAAGACATTTTTCCTTAAATAATTTTAACAGTCTTTGAAAAAAAACAGAAGTATGGGGTGCTCTTGTACTCATTTGCCTTTAGTATTTGTCTTCATCTAAGAATTGGCATTTAATTTCATCTCAGAATTGGCATTTGACTTCTTTTCAGCATTGGCATGCTTCTTACAGATTTTTTTTTACTCTCAGAGGAAAAAACATAAATTTCATGTCCAACCTGCATTCCTTAAACATGGATTTAGAAATTTCTTTAACACTCCTGTCACATCTGATGTTTTATTTAATTTTGAACCTTCAGATATTATGCAGCTTTAAAATGCATTATATGGAGAGAGAAAAAAAACTGCCTAAAAATCAGCCCAAAACAAATTGAAGAAATGTTGTCTCCGAAAAAAATAGCAAAAAAATTTATAACTTATCCATCACATTGGTGTAAAATAACTTGCCATTACTATGACCCATTATCACATTCTTTTTTATTATTTTTTCTTTATATTTCCTATGCAGCCATTGAGTGTTCAAATACATTTTATATATATATAATATTCTTATATATGACTCAAAAACTAAAGGAAAAAAACTATATATATTGATATGAATGAAAACAAAAACAAAATAACAATGTTCCAATATAGAAAATAAAACATAAAAATTAATACAGGAAGATTGTATAGCATGAATGATGTGTCAATGAAAACAAAATCCTTCCTTACAATTACAATTTTTTCCTTCAACACAACTTTGCAGGGAAAAAAATAAACATCAATATTACTAAGCTTGTGTATTAAAAATATAATTGCACTTGAATGCATTTGTCACAAGAGAACTTGCATATAAAATCAGAAAACACGTATTTTTTCCAAAATGGGGTTGGTGCAATAGTTGTATGTATTTTGATATAAGATGAGAGGGGTAAAAAACAGTTAAAAATAAAAATCTTTGTATTTTCACAAATCAAGGAAACCTTTACAAACATTAATAACTGCTTAACTCTTTCGCTGCCAATGTCGCCGATAAGCGACTTTCGTATAGACTGCCAATGTCGCCTATCGGCGACCAGATGTCACATGTTTTGCCACGTGTGTTTACTTTCATTTTGCGACACTAATTTTAACGACATCTAGACTTCTTTACGGCAAATAGACTGTTTTACGTTATTAAACGCGGAAGTGAAGAAACATCAATGTAAAAAAGTCATTTTTATCGATTTTGAAGCAGTTTTTTCGAGTGAAACTTGTTTTGTAATTGGCAGCAACAAAATGGCGACTCGCTATTCAACTACAGACGTTCTTTTAATGATTGCAAATGTGTAATAGAAGGCTAATATATTTATATTAGTATCTTTTTTATGTTAAAGGAAGATAACTGTAAATATAGACAACTTTTGAAGAGTTTTGAAGAGTTTGGTATACCGAGAAATGACAATAAATGAAATTATACCTAATTTTTGTCGTTTAAGGTCAGGCAAGGTCAAGGTTAAGGTCACATTCTCAAAATTTACATATTTGGAATGTATCATCATAAAGAGTAACATAAATACAATATTTCCTGAAAGTTTCATCAAAATCTAACAACAAATAACTATTTTAGGGCTAGTTTTGTATATACACTATATACACTATATTTCCTGGAATTGTCTGTTATTTATTTGGCACTGGGACAATGGTTTTCTCAGAAAATTGGCAGCGAAAGAGTTAATATTAGGTTATATAAAGCAGTGAAAAAACATTAAAACACTTCATAACAAACTTTCATTAACATTTCTGTTAAGTTTTAAGTTTCTAAACAAAAACCACAAAATAAAAACAGCAGACATTTAAACAAAATTTACAACCTAGAAATTAAAGATCACTTTTCTGTAACAACCCAGATGGTAAATACACAAGCACAACTTAGTCATGGCAAAAGCTTAACCTACAATAGTCTAAATTAACATGCATATAAAACAGTGAAATTCTAGTGAAATTTTGCATTCAAGAAGACAGTTTTTGAGTTTAAATAATTAATATATGTGAACATTTATAGATTATACTCTTTTTTTTTTTTTTTTCCTCTTCAAAATTCTTATCGATGAAATATCACTTAAAACTGCTTATAAAGACAATGTTTAATGGCCTTTGAAAAGAAAATATATACTAAAATGAATACTTTAATTTTTGTTTTCCTTTCAAATCTGAGGAATGTTAACAGTGTTTATATAATATATATAGAACTTCTAACATACAATATGATAAATATATTATGATATATATATGTATATAAAAACAGCTTCTCAAGTCACTATATAATAAGGCAACATGCTTGTAAATATCACAGCTTACTTCAAAATAACTCTTTCAATATGATCTCCATCAATTTCAATATATATGCTTTATTCAGCTGAAATTTAAGATATTTTTCAGTCCACATCATCCCTGGATTTTGAATGTCTGAGGTATTTTTCTTGTCTAGCCCTAAGCAGACTAATACTGGGATACTGTCTGCATGCTAGTCACAGGGGGTGGCGGACCGTAACTTGCAGCATGGAAAAACTGCTCAGCCACTGCAACAAAAAAGTTGTATACATGTATATCAACATTTATAATGCTGCATGTTTGTAACGTCACTTTTCATTGGATAATCATGGCATTTATATAGTTTTATATACACGGCTGCTGTCAATTTTCTAAGAAATCTCGCATTTTTCTCAAAAAAGGAAATTTGCTGTATTAAAAATTTGTTATAAATATTCCCGACAGGTTATATGACCATATATAAATGGTTGTTTGCAATATATTTTCAAACAGCCATTTATATATAAGGCCAATATAACCTGTCAAAAATCTTTATAACTAATAAATAATACATAGAATATTTGGGGTTTTTTTTTAATTTTCCTGTTCCACAATGCAAAAATGCCGTTTTTCTCAAATGGTAACCAAAAATGCCAAATGCCTTTTTAAATGAAATATTTGACCATTGTTCTACTGTTTGACACACCAGTCCAAATGAGCCGCGTCATGACAAAACCATCATAATGGGTTTGCGACCAGCATGGATCCAGACCAGCCTGCGCATCCGCGCAGTCTGATCAGGATCCATGCTGTTCGCTTATCAACTCTATTACAAGTGGAGAAACTGACAGCAGGCTGGTCTGGATCCATGCTGGTCGCAAACCCATTATGTTGGTTTTGTCGTGACGCAGCTCAAAACTACTTCCAGAGATATACTTGAACAAATGTAAAGATAATTTCTGCTATAATCTGTATTCAGGTAATCAAATGAGCCGCGTCATGACAAAACCAACATAATGGGTTTGCGACCATCATGGATCCAGACCAGCCTGCGCTTCCACGCAGTCTGATCAGGATCCATGCTGTTCGCTTATCAACTCTATTACAAGTGGAGAAACTGACAGCGAACAGCATGGATCCTGATCAGACTGCGCGAATGCGCAGGCTGGTCTGGATCCATGCTGGTCGCTAACCCACTATGTTGGTTTTGTCGTGCCAAAGCTCAAATCTACTTCCAGAGATATACTTGAACAAATGTAAAGATAATTTCTGCTATAATCTGTATTCAGGTAATCACCTTGTTGTAATTTATGCAGCAAGGAAGTTGTTGAAATCTAAATTTCATTACTTACAAGGTTGATATACATTGTTTAAGATAAATATAACAAAAATCCATAGTAAGACCCTGTAAATCAAGCTGTCCCTATTACGCTTCAAAACGCATCATTTTATTACATGCTTTTCGGTGGTTTATAGAAATATATCAGTGAAATAAAACTGGTAATTTCACTGTTTGAAACAGTGAAATTACCACTTTGGTAATTTCACTGTTTTGAATTTAAGCCCTTTACGTTTTTTCAGTAAAATACCAGCGTGCACAGTACTGGGTACCAACTTAATGATGTGACGTCGTAAATGACGTCATGTTTTATTATTATTTGGCGCGCTTTTCATTCAGTATTAGGTTTAATGTCTTTTTAAAACGTTTTTTTGCATATAATAAAAAGAAAATTTGTTTAGTTTAGTGTAAGATCGAAATATATTACACCTTGTGAACACCAAAAGTTCATATTTCACTCGTGGCTGCGCCACTCGTATATTCCGATCTTACACTGAACTAAACAAATATCCTCTATATAATTGTTAAGCAGATACATCGTATTATAATTTAGTTTGAGATAATGTGGTGTATAAAAAATAATATTGAAGTCATTTATGCATACACCTGGCATTATGTAATTAGCACATTAGCAATGTACATAGCTTTGGATATTTACTGAAACGTTCAAACAATGTTTTATCATGAGCAAAATAAAAGTCCTCATTTGTTTAATATTCACATAAAAATAAATTTTAAGTTCACAGGAAATGCAGAAATTCTCTTGTTTTTTGCATTTGTAAATGGAAAATTTGAAATTCCACAAGACCAAATGAATAAATTTTGATATTCCACAAGCAAAAAGGATAATTTTTATGATAATTTTTGATATTCCACAAGACCAAATGATCAAATTTTGATTTCTGCAAGCCAAATGCTAAATTTTGATATTCTGCAAGCCAAATGCTAAATTTTGATATCCTCAAGTGATATTCCATAAGGCAAAATGCTAAATTTGATATTACTTCAGCCAAGCAAAATGGTAAATTTTGATATTCTGCAAGCCAAATGAAAAATTGGATATTTTACAAGACAAATGATAAATTCTGATATTCCACATGCCAAATGAAAAATATATATTATTTCACAAGCCCAAATGATTAAATTCTGATATTTCCCAAGCCAAAAATTAATGATAATTGCCATATTCCACAAACCAAATAATAAATTTGATATTCAACAAGCCCAAATTATTAAATTTTGAGACAAGTCCAAATGATAAATATCTGTTAAATCGTTACAAAATGTGTTCTATGCTGAAACAACATAAAACGAAAATTGTTAGTGCCAAATTCCAGCAACAAAATTCATAAACTGAAGGCCCTTTCATTGTAACATTGCTGCAACTTGCTCTATGAGTCAAAACAGACGTGTAAGTGTCACAATAAGCCCTAGAATAATACTCACTCTGGTGACTTGGTGGGGGTGGCATTTTCAACATCTGGTTAGCAAAAGCAACATCCTGAGGAGAAGGGGCTGGAACCCCTGTTGGCATGGGAACAGATATTGGAATGGTTATTGGCCTGCCAGTGAAGAGCTCAGCACCTAGCAAAGACAGATTAACATAGCCAGATAGATCAGCTAGCATCTACTATAAACTATAAGTCAAAGATAGCACTGATTAGTACAACAGATCATTTAGTTAAAGTACACACGATTAAAACTAGCAAGTACTCCATCTAGAAGGTTGGTTAAAATCTTGTGTCAGAATGTGATGTCTGAGTGAGAATGTGAGTCACGATTAAAGGTCTCACCTAACTAAACTTTAACTTATTAATAGGCATGCTATAAAACAAACAATCCACATTTTCAATATTGATGAGGCATATGTTATGAAGTATAAATTTTTTCAAACAAGTTTAAAATCGGAGTACTTAAAAGTTTTCTGGCGAGTTTGAATAATATTTTAAATTTCATATATATCTACAGTAAAAGCTACCTATTAGAATATCATTTGTGAGTCAATATAACAAAAACTTGCCTATATAATGCCAGTCTGCACTTTATGCAGCCAGACCACTCTCTAAAATGTTGGTTGCCAAGATACTTACTTCAAGAACAAGTTTTATCAAGAAACAATGAAATATCATTATCAGCTACAGCCAAAGCTGTGAACAAAGGCCATCCAAGGGTCTGACAAAGCATTGTCACTATAGACATTAATTAAGTGTTTTTTATTTGGAGGTTACTTTATTCAACTATTTAAAGAAAGGTTATCAAAACAAAGGCATTAAATTACAGGGTTATCTTTATTTAAATAGGTCTTTTAAACACAGGATTAAACGAACACAATCATTGAAATCCTTTAAAAGTTATGCTGCAGAAACCAATAATAATTTCACGAGAAACATCAGTTAAAAAGGGGCATAACTCTTATCATTTAAATAAGTTAATTGCAGCAAAAATAAAACCCAACGTGATTTGATATAACATACTTACATGCCAAGTATAAACACAATTATTGAAATTCTTCAAAAGTTATGCTGCTGAAACCCATTGTTTATGGACATATGATAAAGGCAGACTGTGAATGCCATACCATATAATTATGTCCAAAAGTTTCATCAGGTGTATAAAAATAAACCATTTCTTTATAGAATATACATAACAAGAACTTATCCCTGTAAACATGTGGTTGTTAATTTAGAAGTCTTTTTATTACTTCTTAACTTTATAAAGCAAATCTTTCAAAGCAGAGTAAGCTAGAATGAAAATCTTATTACAACAATACTTGCATATGAAATATTTAAATGTGCTAAAAATGAAGAGAACAACAAATCTACATGCTGGAATTATTTCTCTTCTCATATAGAAATTCTAGAATCAATGCAAAACATGTATAGTGTAACCTCTGTTAAGCTGCCCTCTGTTGAGCAAAAACCTTTGTACAACAATGGTAAGACTTCATAATGAACTTAAACCTTCCAAAAGCAAACCCTCTTGGCAACAACCAAATTTTTTGTCTTCCAAGGGCTGTTGCTCAACAAAAGATTGCTCTGCCTTAAGTTATGTCTTGTCTGTTGTTATGAATTCTATAATTTCTTAAATAGCATTTATTTATTTTTCTAGAAATATGTTTTGTTTCTTTATATAAATAATAATTTATCAATAATTCTCTTTAAATTATCAATGCATGTATATTTACTTGTTTTTCTCTTCAAAAAAGCAAATCTTGTCTAGTCTTGTAAAGCATGTATGAAGGACAAAAGCTTTAATATGACTTACCCTCAGTTGGTATACCAAGTTGTTGAAGAACAAATTCTGCAGCATAGTTCTTGGCCTCATCTACAGTTCTACAGAGCTTGTTGGGCAAATAAGGCCCATTGTTGGCCGTCATCAAGGCTGGAACGGCAACCTGTAACAGATGAATACTCCTTTAAAATCATCAGGGCTGCCAACAGCAAATTGCAAACTCAGAGGAAAATACGACGGGGGTCAAGGGGGCTGCGCAAGCCCCCTTTGCGTGTCCGGGCAGAGCCCTGGTGGGGGCCCCAAGGGGCAAAGACCCCGGAAGCTCATGGATACTGATGATTTGGTATGCCCTACAATCAATTTCCTGGACTCTAAATTTGACTTCCTTGGTTGCCTTTAAAGCCATTCAGAGACACTTTAGTTGGACTTCAGGTTTTCATCAGCCCTCAAAACAAATATCCGACATTTTGACAACAGACAAGAGCGACAATGTAAACTGTAATTTGATTGGTTATTCTAAAATAGAATGCCGGAAAAGACTCGATTTGACCAATGAGAAAAGCGCTTACAGACCTACCATAGGCGGCTAGCTTAAAGATAATAAAAAGCTGAAGCGTGCCGGTTTTTGGGTACTGTATAAAATATGACAAATGAATTTATTGTCTTTGTCGAATTTACATCGATCTCAAAAATGACCCAGGAGCTCACGAAATCCGCGGATTTCCGCGAATCTGCGGAAAAACGGCAGCCCTGAATCATGTTGAAAATCAAAACTTTTATAGACCTATTTTTCTATTATTTTGTCAAAACTGTTTTTCAATTTTATTTTGTAGAAACATCATTGATAGAAACAAAATTTATGTATATCTCTAAAATGTTGGATTCTTAGGTGCTTCTTGTATGAGTTTTGCAATATAATAATATACCAATTACAACCAAACCTTATTACTGTGAACAAAGGCTATCCAAGGGACAGACAAAGCATCGTCTCTATAGACATTAATTAAGTGGTTTTTATTTGGTATTTATTTTACTTTCCAATAAATGAATATCTACAAATTTGCTTTGTTAAGAAATATAATTACATATTTTTTTTTTGTAAAAAATTACTAATTGTGTTTAAATGAAACAGAAAACTTGCTTTGGAGTAAATCTATTATACTCGGATGAATCAGCAATTCACCTTATTGCAAGCAATTAATAATCAATGCTAGCATTAACCATTTTACTGCATACAACATACCTAAGTAAAATTCTAGCACCATCTACTTGCCAACTTGTTACAATTAAGAATCAAAATAATAAATTGGATTTATAGATTATTTTTTATGTTTTATCAAATTTTTAGATTGAGTTTAAAATGAAAATCATTTTATCATATACTTGCTCATTGTCTGGCATAAATTTCGAGGTTCTAAATATACTACACCCATTTCATCATACCTTAAACAAGAAGAGTTGCATATCACCTCCCCCATCTCGACCCATTGTGGAATGTAGCTGGTAGTTTGGTGACCCCCATCCATTCTTCTGGCAAACCTCATCTAAAATCTGAAAGTCAAGACACTTTTTTTTTTAATTTTTTCTCACAAGAGCCTTCAACCTATAAGTTTTAATATTTATAAAAATCACAATATTTCAAAGGATGATCACTTATATAATAACCTTGTTAAGAATTCTGTTTCTTTTAAATTCAAGTTTTTATGTTTGATACACAAATAATGTATTCAAGAGTAAAAAGATATTTCGTTGAAAAGTAAAATAAAATAAAAACTTTCCTTGGCAAGCTTTATATAATAACTGTAAAGATAACCACTAAAGCCACAAAGCTAGCACCTTGATATATCAAATGGTATGATAAAAAGAGTTTTGTCAAGGTCATATGTAGTGTCTGCCAGTGATTTTTCACCCTATATAACAGACGCCCATAAAAGGCCTCTTCCCAAAGGAACTTTTTTTTTTTAAATCATGCAGTCTTCCCAAAAATTTTAATTTATGTGAGCTTTTTAGTTTCCAAATTAACAATTTTAGCAACAGATTTTTCCCCAAGTCAAGAAGCTCAAGGACTCTTCGCCAATTAAGTGAGAAATCCATTGGGTGACTTTTCAGTTAAATTTCTGGTCAAGGATGAACTCCTATGTTCTGTACATTATCTAAGGCACAAAAGGGCTAGCCTTCCGTAAGCTTGCTGGTCACATCTTGGTTTATCAGCATTATGTAGGGTACATAATTATATTACATAGATTTAAGGTATGAATCGAAAAATTAATATTTAATATTCAAACAAATTTTAAACACCAATCTTTTAATAAATTAGTAAAAAGGTTCAAACATATCTGATACATTATCAAAGGTTATTTACATTGTCATAAATAGTACAATTTTATAAACTAATATATATTTCTTTAATATTGATAAGCATGAACAATATATTTTTAATTCCAGTTGGGTTTTTTTCCTAGTTACTATATATATTTTCAAAAATATAATGACCAAAAATATCTTAAATTGCTTGAATATTTACAAAGAAATATTTATTTGAGTAAAATTTTAAAAATCTTTTAAAATTAAAAAATACAGTCAAACGTGTATTAAGCGACCGGGCAAGGGAAACACCAAAAACGGTCGCTTAATGAAACGGTCTCTTAAGACAGTCAGCATGATATAAAAGTCAAAATTTATAAATGACATCTTTTTTATTCGATGGGATTGTTTTTCAACTTCATTTTTATATAAATGTTGAATAATAAGTACGCTCCGATAATCTAAACGGATGCAAATGTAAAAATAACGTTCTGATATTTATTGACAAAACAGTTTTGATCCATTACGTACATGTTTGACATTTTTTCCAGAATTTTTTAACTTCTCCGTTGTTTTTCCTTGTCTCCAACACGAAAACCCTATTAGTGAAGATGTTTTCTGTTGAGCATTTTTTCATTTGAAATAAACAAACTACATCTATTTGTTACGATTAATTTAATGGCTGATCAAGTTCAAGGTCAATTCAATGCAGTCTAAATGTCAACAAGCGAAGCGTATACACCATCTCAGTATGGGCGGAGCGTTGCATTGTTTATCCGATATCATTGGATAATACACGTCACGCGTATACTTAACTTCATTTGCATACGCTAAAACTGTATGGGAAATAGAGTTTTTCACACGTTTATTGTTGTGTTTTGATTGCTGACACTTGTGACATAACGAGGTGGCGTTCTCTAAAAACACAATTACTTGACAGGTAAAAGTGGTCGTTTAATGAAAAGATCGATGTCAATTAGGTGACTAATTAGCGGTCGCTGGTCGCGTTGAGCAAAAGTCGCTTAATACATTAAAGATATAGAGAGAAAATGATCGGGGGGAATTTAAAGTGGTCGTTTATGACAAAAGTCGCTTAATACACGTGGTCGCATGGGCAAGTTAGACTGTATATTGTTGCTATAAAGTCAGTTCATGTATTACTTCAAATGTTTTTTTATACAGTGTCTTATATTCTAGCAGGTGGGATGGGGTATTCACTCATATTTTTGAGAATCCCCCCCCCCATTTTTTCAAATGCAGGAGGGGGGGGGGGGATTTTTACATAGAAAAAGACGGAAAAAGATCAACTACCATTTATAAATTCTTACTTTTCAATAAGAATTCCTGTTTTTTCGAATCCTAGAATAGACATTGTTTGTACAGTGTCTCGTTTAAATTGTCATATCATTTGTAATTGTCTCGTTATTTATATATAAGTAAATGATTTCCTATTTAATAATTAATTTTTCACAACTAATAACACGTGTAAAAACAAAACTAAATGTATGCAAGCTCAAATTATCAGCATACTATTACCCCCCCCCCCCTTTATAAACCTGCGTAACTGAGTTGTAAAATTAGATATCTGAAGTGAAGAAAGCTGTCCATTCATATAGTCAAGGGGAATATGACCACTTTTCAGGGGCAAAAAGCAGATTCTGAAATTGGGAACCAGGTTTCATTTTCCAGACTCATCTGGAGAAAGGGAAACAAAAAACACTGTAAAAATACCCATAATAATACGTAAGTTTCTGTGTTAAAGTAAAAATTATGTTACTGTATGCGGTAAGTAAACTGTCTTGTTCTGCTTTAAATACAGTTAGGCAATATTATATAAATCTTGAGAAATTTTGCAATTTGAAAAGTACAAAAACTTTTGTCCTTTACTGAAGAAATTGGTCTATCGCCTCTTGAAGAACAGACAACTAGAGCTGTCATCAATAGAAACAATATTGATGTATTGTTGTTATTTTTCTTTTGATCAATAATCGATACACATTTCGAAAAATTGATAATTTTAAGTAATTCAGTCTAGACATTATTAAAATTCACCCAAAACATATACAGAAGGAGTTTTCCATATTCAATATTTAGCTGTAGTTATATATAGTAAAAATATTTCACAGTAATGATCACACGAAAAAATGGTCTAGAAAAAAAGCATGCAATGGGCAAACCAAGACAGTGTCAACAGAACATGTTTTTAACTGAAATCATTTCAACAGGTATGAAAGTGAATGACAGACAAGTTTGTTTAATTTTACACCTTTTCCCAACAGTATTTCAGTCATATAGGCGGGTAGTTTCCTGACCAAGATTCGTTCCTGAAGAGTTACACCAGTACTGGACTACCTTCCTCCGCGCCTAACTACCAAAGCATCTCCTGGGGATCGAACCCATGCCAGAGAGGTAACTGGATTAGAAGTCATCGACTCTAAAACCCCTCGACCACAGAGGCGGTTAATTAACAGTTATTATAGATCCATGTCTATCGGTGTATCTTTGATATTTGTCATCCGATATTGATATATAGTTTATATGCTCTGCACTGAAACAATGTCAGCTCTGAAGCCAACCCTAGGAAATACATTTGTGCAATACTTTCTATTTATAGCAACACTTAGTATATTTCTAACTACCAATACAACATACTCTAGTGGCATTCCTTCACCTTTTAGCTTCCCTGACAGAGTAGCAAAAATTCCACATACAGTCATACACACAAGCACAGGACACAATGTCTGTTTATATAACTAACTAGCACTAATTTCTGGATTTCTATCTACCAGCACATGGTAAATTTAGTATCCTTCACCTTAATTCCTGGCCCTCAGGTGTAACTATAATGGCTCTGGTATAATTGCAGTGTTTCTGAATACAATCTGACATATATATAAGCATGGGTGACAATAAGCTATATACTACCTGTATCGGAGATTTTGAATGTTGCGGTTTTAATGTGACGGGGTTAGTTGGTGTTAGTTCCATGCCAGGGAGCAGATCATACAAATTTGCCTGTGCAAGTTACGCATAACATATGTATATAAGATATATAAAATTATTCCTCATTCCTGCATTATTGGACACAACGTTCAGGTGTCGATAAAAGGTCAAAAAAGCATTTACAGCAGGGCTCGACAAATATTTGGAGAGCAACTTGTCCTGGTGCAGGACCAGCCGCTAAGAATTTTCACTCATCTAGCTACAACATGTACTTGTCTTTAGTTCACTAAAGGTAAATGGAAATAATAGATTATACCTTGTCAACATGATATATACATGTTATATTGTATTTAAATCATTACACTGTTAAAGAATGTGAAATAAAACTAAAGAATTTTTTTACACTTGAAACTGTTTTACTGTGGACAGACAAGTGTATGCGGTACATACCAGAATTGCGGCAACAAGCTTTAAGCAAATGCGACTGCTACAGATCGAATCAGACTGAATTTAGCGTGGTATTCAGTCTTCGAAATTAACGCCAGTCCGAGGCCCGAGGCCACTAAATTTAGCATCGGTCCGGTGATTATTGCAAGGTTGGTGGTCCGACGGGCCAGTAGATTTTTGGCCATGAAAAAATATTATAAGAAAAATTCAACACAAGGAACATCGCAATGCGATGCAACCAGGTTTTCAGCAAAATATTTCACAGAAGCTTTGTCATGAAGGGGCATTTGTTTTTAATTGAACTTTTAGGAGGAATTATGGCTTTTTTAATATTCCTCAAACAAAAATGATTGAGAAATTTTATGTTGTCTATTTGCCTTTTTTTCCCAAATGTTTTAGAAAGGTAAACAAACAGTACTTTATTTTTGCTTAATTTTTGCATTTTTGCGTCTCTTGTCATTTTCTTTTGTCAACAATATTGGCGTGTGGTGTTTTGTGCGATATCAAGAAAAGTATGTTCACAATTTTAAAAAAATTCTTGAATGATGTCTTGGAAGAAACATGGGAATTTAGTGAGCGCCAGGGCACTTGATGACAAAGCTTCTGTGAAAGTTTGGTCAAAATCCATTGAGAAATGTAGGAGAAGTTGCGCACTGTAGAAATTGTTCACTATATATTCTGTATAAGGAAAAAATATACAAAGGGCCATAATTCGGTCAAATATTATCCAATCACAAAACCCCGACAATATGTGCCAGGCACTTGATAACAAAGCTTCTAAGAAAGTTTGGTCAAAATCCGTTGAGAAATGTAGGAGGAGTTGAGCACAGAAGAAATTGTTCTCTATATATTCTGTATAAGGAAAAAATATACAAAGGGCCATAATGCCGTCAAATATTATCCAATCACAAAACCCCGACAATATGTGCCAGGCACTTGATAACAAAGCTTCTAAGAAAGTTTGGTCAAAATCCGTTGAGAAATGTAGGAGGAGTTGCGCACAGAAGAAATTGTTCACTATATATTCTATATAAGGAAAAAAAACAAAGGGCCATAATTAGGTCAAATATATACCAATTGCAAAACCCTGGCAATATGTGTCAGGGCACTTGATGACAAAGCTTCTGAGGAAGTTTGGTCAAAATCCGTTGAGAAATGTAGGAGGAGTTGCGCACAGAAGAAATTGTTCACTATATATTTTATATAAGGAAAAAAAACAAAGGGCCATAATTAGGTCAAATATTATCTAATGGCAAAACCCCGACAATATGCCCCAGGGCACTTGATGACAAAGCTTCTGTGAAAGTTTGGTCAAAATCCGTTGAGAAATGTAGGAGGAGTTGCGCACAGAAGAAATTGTTTACGCCCGCCCGTCCGCCCATCCGCCCGCCCGCCGACATACCTCAATCTAATAACCAGTTTTTTCCTTCGGAAAACCTGGTTAAAAATAATGAAGCAGGGCTCTCTAAAAGATTGATATTTTTGCCTTTTTTGCAAGTGAAACCCATCAATTCTGTCCTAAAAATTCAAAACACAGCGAGAGATGTCTAAATTGTATTGAGTAATAGAGGCCGCCATTTTTTTCTTGGATATTTTCCGTACCGCACCGTACAGTTACGGAAATTAAACCATTGTTTATAATGGTCATTATTTACCTATGATTTTGTGATAATTGAGTTAAGTTAATATTTTGTGTGAAAGTGATTTGTTTGAAGCAAACTGCGTTGTTCATGTTCAATGCTAGTCAGTTTTGCCTTAACATTTGGTCCTTATAAATTTATAGAGCTATCAACTTATGGTCCAGAATACAAGAAGTATTTTGCTTCTTTCAAAATTAACAAGGGAAGCATGATAAAGTGTTTTCCTTTACCCATCAATTTATTACCTATCTATGTATTTGGTCCGGCTAAAAATCACCAGGTCCAGTAAGATTTGAAATTTTACTGGCCCGAATGTCCTGTGCTTTTTAAAGTTTTTCGTGAAGACTGGGTATTACACTGTCATTGAATTAAGCACTGGCCGGTGGCCCATGGCCAGTGAAAATTAGTTAAGGCCAGAAAATTTAGTTAAAAATATAGTAGAATAAATTCATTAAATATATAGTAGAATAAATTCAAAACTTGAATTCATGCTAGTAAATTCAAAATCTTAAATTCATTGACTGGTATTATAGTATCTACAACATAACATCTGCTTTGCACATCAAACATGCAAACTATTTTGTTCTAGTTTATTTGTGATTTGAACTTGAAAAATATGTTTCCAAATAAATAAAGAATTGGATTGAATATTGATTATTTCTGCAAGAAATTTCACAGGTCCTATAGGAGGAGTATTATGCTAGGAGAGATACTTGCCAAGAGTAATTTATACTCATTTTTACAAGCGTGAGGAGTGGATTTGTCGAGCCCTGTTTACATGACCAAAAAATAACAAAAGTCTTAACCAATTTGTGCTTAATTCTTAACCACTATCTGGCTAAATTTCTTAAATGGACACGTCTGGACGTGGCTTACATTTTTGGAATTTGTGGATAGCAAGATAAAAATTCTAACTTGGTCAGTCAATAATATAATAAGCTTTGTCAGACTGCATGGGTGTTTTAAAAGTCAGGTAATTTAAAACATTATTTTTGTGTTCATTTTTTATATCAGACATTATTTCTTAAACAGCAAAGGAAATAATCTTGAAGAAACTCATGCAAAAGCTAATAAAAAAGTTTATATTGAACTGATATAATGAGAAAAGAAAGAAAATACTCTTTTAAAATTTAACATTTTAGGTGAAGATACAACTTACATCTGTTGGGTATCTTGGCATTGGTGCCCTGATGAAGCCTGGCATAAATCCACCTCGACCACCCCTGACCCCAGCTGCTCCTCTTCCACGTCCACGCATCATTCCCCTGACACCTACTGCTGTTCTACCAACTCCCCTATAAATAAAGAATTGTTAATTTAAGGGTGATTTCACCTGCTGTTCTACCAACACCCCTATAAATAAAACATTGTTAAGATTGATTTGGTACTCACAATTTAAAAAGGTTGAATATTTGATTAAATTTAGTCATCATAAGCAATTGTCCCAGTAGAATTTGTGTCCCTGCTTTAAATTTTGTCTGTTTGAACTGTCCACTGTAAATAATTTTATAGGAGAATTTAAAATTAAGCTCTGGAAGCAGTTCAGTTCAGGTCCAGATGCACTTAAATAAAGGTAGTTTTTTAAGCACACTAAAACAACATAACAAGGCAAATGTGCAGCTTAACTTGTGAAGGAAGATTCTTTAGATGCCTTTCTTTTAGTGATGTTCCGATTGTCGCAAGTCGCCGATAATCAGTTACTGTTATGTAAAGCAACAATAATCAATTCAAAAAAATTGGTTCTGCGACGTCCTCAAAATATTAAAAGTGTCAAAGGGAATTAATTCTGACGGTAATTTTCTTTTAGGAACACCTCGCCGATCTCAAAAAATCATCTCAGAGACAATTTGGAGTTAAACAGGATCAATAAGTGATGTAAACAAGAGTAATATAATGTGATGTGAATGTTATTATTTGACATCCAATAAAAAATAAAATCTATTTCGTAAAATTATGACTATATAAGGTAATCAAAGCACAGAAGGCGCTGAATTTGTTTTGGTCTCAGAATGTCAGAAAGGTGAAGGTTGTGAGATTATAAACCAATTTGTTTTTGTATCATAAGTGCCACCAGTGCTTTCCAGCGTTTCAATTGTTACAAGTTAATTGGCTTTAAGACTAATTGCAACACTGACATTCAATTCAATGTTTATTTGACTTAAACAATTTAAAAAAAAAAAAAAAAGAGTTGCCTTCCTGGATTTGGTCTCCAGACCCCTGGCCACAGTGAAGTTATTTTTAAAAGGCCTGAAGAAAACCATATTATTCTAAATTAGGGTTTGTAACCCTTATTATTTCGACGCTAACTGTTGTTTAACACAGATGTTAATAATCATGGAATTTATTATAAGCATGTATATCTATAAAGGATAAAACAATATTAGAAATCTTCGACCATGCGGGAATTATTTTGCTTGAAAATTAATGCGCCTGTCATTTGACCATCTGTACGCAGTGATCTCCCCTGAATTTTTACGGCGTTAGTGTACATATAAAGGCAAGTAACCGCTTCAAAACAGCGGCCTACTTTCGGCATTTGCAATTAACAGCATCAGACTCTGAAATTTCGCTACCATTATTTGTTTGGTCTGACGACCCAAACAAATAAAAACTGTGTTGAAAAGTGCTAATTGAAGTTCATGTTACTGGATATAATCAAATGCCTTGGGGAAAAAATGTTACTTCCCTATTTCTTTTAAACGCGACTTTATTCGAAAAGTTATCGATTATGTCCAATCCGACTGAAATGATGATTGATTGGGACAAATTTCATCCGATTTCCATCACTACTCTCTATGGATTATGGCAAGAAAAAATGCCTTCATGGTCCCCAGAGTAGAATGACAACATTCCAAAGCTAGCTGAATAGCTTCCTTGTTTGAAAAAATGAAGGAATCCACAACATTTGCAAGTGCCTGTTTATTCTAAGACCATTTGGAGGAAAAGATTCTTGAATGAAAACCTTCATCATCTTTAGTGGGACCACAACTTGTGGAAGTCTAATGGACTAAAAGTCAGCTATATAAAATAACCATATCAGCTCATGCATGTTCCCCCTAAATCAAGCTATATATTGATATAAATCAAGGTTTTTTTTCACTCTGTAAAACAAGGGACCCTTTCCTTCATATTTGGGAAAAGTATTTAAACATTGTTTTTACAAAAAAGGGGAAGGGGGGGAGGAAAAGAATGATGTATTAACTTTATTTTAGAGAAACACTTCATAATTTAAATAATTTTCCATAGAAGATAACTTCTATAAGTATAATAAGGAAATAAACCTGGAAATACAGTCATGTGCAGTGGTAAAAATTATCACTTAATTAAGTTCAAGTCAAGCAAAATATGATATGGGTCAGTATACCAAAGTTATCTACCTTTTACAAAGTCATATTGTTAGAACAGACTTACCTTGGAAATGGTTGTGGAGGTGCAAATGGGTTATACATCACACCAGGGTTGTTCCCAGTGTCACCTAATTGAAAGCTGTATCCAAAAACCTATACAAGAAAAACAAAACGTTCATATTACTCTCAGCTTCATCATTACTTTCAAATCCTAATAAAAGGGTTAAAATATAAGAATTAAGAATGTTTTGAATTCTCAGCATTTTTGTTATTTATATCTACGTTTTTTGGTCAGTATTTTGATGAATTGTAAAGATGATCTTGGAAATGTGAATTTAAAAACTCTAAATTATATCCAAACATTAAACATTTCAGTTTCATTGACCCTTTAACATTTGGCTGTAATTCTCCAAATAAAGGTTAATTCTAATATTTCTGTAACTGTTTTTTCTTCTGATCAAACCATCATGTACACATACATTTCACATATTCATATTCTATGATATCTAACATTATAAAATGCCAAATGCACAGCACAGTATTAGATTTTACATTTTCCAGCCATCCTGAAAAGGTACTCGGGTTTACATTTCTATGACATTACTTCAGTATAGTCAGTATATTGTTATCATAAGCAATAGATTTCCGTTGTTTGTTTGAGGTTTTTTTAAAATATTAATAAAAAAAATTAAAAAATTTCAAATGTAACATCTTGGTAGTCCATACACTTAAAGCAGCACACCTCCAGATCCATGCTCATTTTCATGAAAATTTTGAAAATGTATTTGAATGTGTAATATTGCGAAGTAACCAAAGGGAAGCAATTTACAAATTATCAATGGCACTTACAAACCAGTGGTTAACTACCAAAATGTCAAAATATGCATCAGATAGCCTTTACTGCGTTAGTAACAAAGAAGAAATTAAAATAGTTGTAAATACTGAAAAATCAGTTATTTATCGCAAATAATATGTATCTTAAATCTTGAAACTTTTTTCTCCCTACATCTTAGTTATGTTTCTCAAGTTTGATTTCATTGAAATATTTTGACTTATTTGGAGGCATGTAGCTTTAATTGGCAACTAGTAATTAACAATTTCTTTGCAAGTGATCCACCACTTATGCCACATGATAAGAGACAAATGACCATTACTGACTCGATGTTCATGATAAATTGTCCTCAAATAGTCAAGCTTAAATTCTCTTATAATTTAGCTATTTAAACAAATGATACTTACCTTCAGGGCTTTTTTTTTTTTTTTTCGCAGGTTGGGGAAACAGCCCCACCCTAAATTTTTTGGGGGAAATTATACAGTGTATTTGCAAAAGGGGAAGAAAAAACTTGATGACTTAATTCAACTTTCTGGGAAAACTGCATAATTTTAAGAATTTTTCTTTGAGAAGGTCACCCTGTCACGGCCCTGCTATAGAAGGGAAAAAAAACTCTGACCGTACCAATAAAAGATGAAAAAATATTTTAATAAATGTACATACTGTATATTCGGTTCATGGTTTTTCTATAAACCAATGCATTTTAAGGATGGCACATTTAGTTAGTATAACTTCAAAATAAAGTTTCAAACAAAAGAACCAATTCATGCAATGTATATATTACAAAATTAGGTGTCACAGGTTTTTTAGTACACAGACATTCAATATTTTGTTAAAGAATACAAACTCAACATTCTATATAGGGCAATATTTTTCAAATTTCTTTATTTTTTCAATTTTCTTCTTCTTTTCTTTTGTACTTCTTTTCTTTTGTACTACAGTCAACTATCGTTATCTCGACATCGCTTTTCTCGATATTTCGTTATCTCGATGAAATTTTGAAAGTCCCGATTTTCTTCCTTCTTTATCTATATTGGAAATATTTGTTTATCTCGATATTTTTATTTCGATATTATCAGTATCTCGATGTAAAATTTCAGCCCCAACAGTTATTTTCACACTATTATCCTTTGTTTATCTCGACTTATAGTTTTCTTTCGTTTGTTCCCTTCAGACGTGTGAAAAACACAAACTAGACGATAATTGCTCAATAGCCTGTGTCATAATGATGATTATGTTTGTAACAAGTTTAGCTATCTTTATAAAAGTTAATCTATTTAGCGTGTTGATTGACTTATGTCCAAAATGAGTGAATTTTGCGTTCTTTATAAATATTCGAACACTGTATTAATTCATTATGACTTTAAATGTAAATAAAATAGTGAAAGTATAGAAACGCTATCGTTGCAATATTGTTTCGCAACATCACGACCAACACAATCAGCGGTCGAACAATCTCGAGAATGACCCGATAAATAACACGGGAGGATATCCGGATCAACCACCCTGAAAACAATGTTTCCACTATATTGGTGTATTACTGAGTAAACCTCACTATTTTTTTTATCACAGACACCCGTATTTCATTTGGTAAAAATCCGCTTATGTTACTTTGTTAAATATTGGGTAGGCCTATGAAACAAGACTTGGGGATATCATACATGTAGTTTATTTGACATAAGGTATGCACATGTCTTTTGTAAAAATCGGTTTCTGCCTTATTCAAACCCTAAAATGTTTATCTCGACATTTCGTTATCTCGATATTTTTTGGACGGTCCCTATGACTTCGAGATAACGAGAGTCGACTGTAATTTAATAAAAAAAATCTTGAATTTCAATACAAAAATCATACTTGAAAATGAACGAAACAAGTAACAAATGCCCAAAAATAAAACAAAAATTGCTCACTAAATGATATTTAGTTAGCCTGTATTTTTTAAAATGTGATTAATCATAGTTAATTATTAAAGCTAGCACTTCAAATTTACAAATCATGTAAACAAAAAAGAAAACAAAAATGAACACAAAACCATGCAAAACACTGATTCTAACCTCCACGAGTTCACTCAGTTCTTCATCTTCCTATATATAAGAATCAAAGAAATATATGTAAAACCCAAATGCATACAGTGATTTTTTTCTTTTAATCGAGAAGAGGCCTCAAATAGTCGCTTGATTTTCGGGAAAAATTATTGCTAAAATTGCTGATTTGGGAAGTAAAAAAGCAGGTTTTAGTAAAGATTTTTGGGAAAACTGCATGATTTTAAAGAAAATTACAACTGGGAAGAGGTCTTTTAGCAAAGTCTGTAGGAAGATCACTGGCATAGAAAAGTAAATGTACCCAATTTTCCCACAGATACTTGGGGTTTGGAGCTCAAAACGCCTTTAAAATCCAAATAAAATGCATATTTGTCAATCCCAGCACATGTACTGATCATATATATCCAAAAAACTTAATATAAGCCGTTTTGAAAAAAATTCATATTTCAACATCTATAATAATACACAAGATAAAAATGTTCGCCGGAAAAATTCCGCACCCCTACCGTCATAATCACCATGTATTTTATTCCATTTCCAATATTTTCACATAATCCTTTGGTCCATCGACACAGAAGATATAATTCTTCACGATGATGGTCAATTTTAAACTTCAACGGTAATATAAACAACGCAACAGCCGAAACAAACATCAATTTTATCGCCGTTTTTTTTCCAACTACAAAATCTTTCGATAAATTCAATGGACCAGACGGCTATGAACGAAGCTATCCGATTATGTGGCTCCCAAACTTAAAAGCGCTGCGCATTTTGCACATGGCAAAGCTGGGGCCACAAAATCGGATTGCTTCGGTCATAGCCGACTGGCACGTTTGAATTTATCGAAAGATAATGTCATTGAAGGAAAACGGCGATAATACTGATGTTTATTTCGGCTGTTGCGTTGTTTATATTACCGTTGAAGTTAAAAATTGACCATCATCGTGAAGAATTATATCTTCTGTGTCGATGGACCAAAGGATTATGTGAAAATATTGGAAATGGAATAAAATACATGGTGATTATGACGGTAGGGGTGCGGAATTTTTCCGGCGAACATTTTTATCTTGTGTATTATTATAGATGTTGAAATATGAAATTTTTTCAAAACGGCTTATATTAAGTTTTTTGGATATATATGATCAGTACATGTGCTGGGATTGACAAATATGCATTTTATTTGGATTTTAAAGGCGTTTTGAGCTCCAAACCCCAAGTGTCTGTGAATTTTCCTTAACCTTCTGGAACCAGAAGTGAAATAGAGCTAGGCTGGCCTGCTCATCTGTGCAATCAGATTTTGACTAGATATTGTTAACCATGCACTTAAATTCAAACTTTTTAATTCAAACAACAGTCATTGAATTTAAAATTTTGAATTTACTGGCCCGAATTCCAGTTTTCTGCTATATATTTAACTAATATTTTTAATATTTTACTAATTTTCTTAAAATTTATTCTGGCCCAAACTAATTTTCACTGGCCATGGGCCACCGGGCCAGTGCTTAATTTGATGACTAAAACAACAATGAACAGTTCTGAAAAGAGAACAAGTTCATGGTTGCATAAAATTCTAAAAATAGTTTGTCTCTTTCCAGTTAAAACCTCAAAAACACCCATTTTTTTCCCAGAATGGTGCTAAAAAAAATCCAAAATTTCACAGCTGCCTCAATTAGCTATAATTTTAAAAACTCAAAAAAAAAAAATGTTCAAAGTGTTACGAAAAAAAAGCACTGAAAATTACCCGAGAAGGAAAAGCAGTCTTGTTACGTGCATAGCGCTGATACTCTGCCTTGTCTACTGGCTTTGCAAGTACAACTTCAATTCTTGAATTATCCAAAACTGAACCTAGAAATATTAATAATATGCAGAAAAGTCATATCTATATATATATAAAAATTGAAAACCAAGGATGGGCCTTTAAAAAAAAGAGGTATCAATACGTAATACAGACTATAATAGCAATATTATTGATACAGAGTGAAATAATGGTTTTATCAGTAGTATCTACAATCAATTGTAACCTCAGCACTCCCGCCCCTGGGACATTGATTTGTGGCCAATAGGAAAATATTACCAGTGCTTTAAAAGAGATGGGGTAAAAACTGACCCTATGATCACAGTATGTGTGCTTAAAAGTTCCATATATATATTTAAATGGTTCCCCTATTTATAACGAAACAGATCTTTTTCCACACAAATCAACATTGACGTTTTGACCAAAGAAAATGCCAGCAGAAAAAGAGATAATTATTAACATACCATTCATTACATTCATGGCTTTGATGGCAAGATCCCGTTCTCTAAAGTGAACAAAAGCATTAATTTTTTTTAGCTTTTTAAAAACTCTCTCATACCCCATTTTTCATGGCTATTTGCTTTTTAAATGCCCTCAATTTTGGTCTCCCCCCGTTGTACTCGCTTAGATTTTTACAACAGAACTTCCCCTGGGAAAAAAATTTTTAAAAATTTATAAAAAATTTTTAAATTAATGTTGCATTTTTTTCATGAAATAATTTTTTAAAGTGAAATAAGCATTCCCATAGTTTTTTAAAAAATTTATAGTTTTTTATAAGAAAATTAAATTTATAATGTTTATAAATTTTATAGTGCCCATATTTATGCACATACAAGCAAGTGTAAAATCTGTGCTTACTGCTAGTAGTTTGAAATATGAACATATAATTTCTGGACCGAGAATGAGAATGCCGGACTGGGATATTAATTAGCCAGGTGATAGCAGCCTATACAGCTGCATAAATATAAAATGTCTATGATTTATAAACAAATTTATTACAGACTGGTTGTCAATTGGATCCCAACAAACACTGACAAATAAATAATCTTTTAAACCTTGCAAGATTAAAAACAATATGGTAAAAACAACATTATCTTAGCAAAATTGTTGACTGAGTTAAACTAAACTGATCATTGTAAGTCAGACACCGGGCTTCGCGAAAGTTGCCAGACTGTCGCCAGACTGTCGAACATATCATACAAAAATCAGGCTTGTCCCATAATTTTTTTCAGAATTTTGGTCCTAATATGTCCGGTACACATCAAGATATACAGGGTTTGAATTTAAGCTTACATGCTTGCAAAATGCCAATCTAATACAGCATTTAGCAGAAATTACCAAGAGCTTGTATTTTCATCACTTGCATGATAATTGTTCATTTTGCAAATATACATTTATTGTGCATGTTTTTTGCAAGTGCCCACTGCACTTGAACGTGCTAGCTACAGTAACTTATGACGTTTACCGTAAAATCTATTTTAGGTTAATCTTTTTGCGTTTTATTTTCTGTGGCTATATTTAGACAGACTATTTTATGACAGGCAATTACTATTACTTTACATATTTTTTTCCAAAATTTTCAAAAAAGACTGAAGATATAAATTTAGCGGTAAAGTAACAATGTTAAAGACTATAATAACTTAATTAAATTCAGAAGAGGATTTGAAAACAAGTCCAAGTGGGTTGGAATCATTATTGATTAAGCATGTCCAAGGAGTTTCAAATGGTTTCCTAAAACTTATTTTTTTATATTGTATATCGGTGCATTTTGACCAAATAAGGTCCCCCAAAGGAACTTATTAATGGCTTGTTTTTTATTTTTGTATTTTTTTATTTCCATTTAAGTAAATTTACAAGTATTCAGTGTTTTTTCTTCACCAAAATATTTGGCAAAATTCGGCCCCATTCCTCCCAACAAAATAGTATGTTTTCTTTCCCCTCAAAGCAGAAATTTTCCCCCATATGGCAGCCCAAATTTGCCTGCAATGAATACCATTTTTTTTTTGCATAATATTATAAATGCCGAAAATTGTTTTATTTTATGCCTGTAAGACTTACTGTTAAGCCTAAAAAAAAAAATTGTTCTGTTCGGGTCACCCGACCCTACCTAATAATATGCGCCGACCCTACCATTTTTTTTCTGTCCAAAAAAAAAAAAAAAAAAAAAATCCATAAAAATACCGTATTATTGAGGTACTCAATGAGCCAGTGTGAAGGGCAATTCAGGCGAAAATTTCCGCTGTTGTATATTTCCATTTTCGCTTCTCCCAATTGATCAAAGAAGTCAACAACGCCGATAAAATCTTAATTCCCAAAGAGTAATTACTTGCCGATGTAAAGAGCAGAGATTGTATCCGCCCATGATGACGACTGCTAATTATCATTATCCCATCAAGCATCGCTATATACTACCCTTCATACCTGTATGCAAAGCGATAGACCGCCTACTCTAAAACCGTTTAAATAATGAGAGCATCGGCCCGAAACGAGTATATTTTTGGCAAGTTTTAATACGGGATTGGCGATAATTTAAAGTATTAATTTTTTTCCGAATCATCCTAAACACGTGCCAAAATCTTCCCTAATTTGATATACACCGGTGGGGTTTAACCCGAAGTAAAGGCGTTGCAAATGGGTTTTTCGGGCTACACCCAAAACTTGTTAGTCAATTCCAAAAAAAATCTTATTACTTTGGTTATGTTGTAGACAGTGAGGAGTGTTTTTGCCAGTTGTTATCTTTGTAGAAATGCCAAAATTTGACACAGCTTGTACGCTCCTTTCCGTGGGCACGACATTTCCTGCTAAAAACTACCCGAATTCCATGATCGGCACTGCGACAATATTCGTCGTTATATTCCCATGTGCTCAATGTATATTTATAACAACGAAATTGTCAGGAAAGAAGTGTTCTTTATTGTTTCAATATATATAATTTGTTTTAATAGTCATAAATATGACGCGCTCAGATTTTAAGATTTATTAATATTGTAAATTTCGAAAAGCATTATTTATTAAAAGATATTACCGAGTTTAACATTTCATTTTGAAAATAAAAGGGAGGTAATTGAAAATTTTTTTTCTTAAATTTCTCAGTCAATTTTTTCAATAAGAAAATGAAGTATATAATTTTAGTGATCAAATATTATTGTGTTAAAATGTTTGCAGTTACATATTTTTACATATTTCCCTTCTTATATGTAAAATTGTTTTATAAGCATAATTTATATGCACCTAAAATAATGACCCAATACAAACATAGAAGATCACAAAGCCAGCCCGCCTTATGTTCAATTCGGTTAGAGCGCGGATACTTGTAAATCTCGACATTGTGGGTTTCGATTCCGGGCTGGCCAACTAAAAATTACTAATCAGTTCTTTGGGGGATTTTTTGGGAATGGGAAACCTTTTAAAATTCCCCGGGAGGTCCTGTTGTATGGGTGCTTTTAAACACTTGGCACCGCTTAAAGAACCAGGAGAAGCTTCTTGAACTGGGGATCTTTTCTGTAAAATCCTGTAATTGCACTATCCTCCGAAAAAAAAATAAAAATGACTAATACTCTTCTGGAGGGCTCGCCCCATAATGGCAACCGGGTGGCGAGTAATAAATAAACGCAAAATACACCACACACACAGAAAGATCACAAAAGAAATTTCTGTTAAACAGAACATGGGATAGACAGATTTTATTAATCATTATCCAATGTAACTTTATCTGGAAAGTAAAAATATTAAAGTTAATTTATTATCATAGTTTTTTACACATTATTATCAAAAATATATGAGAAAAGCTTTATAAATAGCTGATAAATAGATTGTGTTTCTATTCTAGTTAAAGGATGTTATAGCCATGCAAATTTAATGCATAAACATTGGGATGTTTCCCTTCTGCCGAGTTTTTTTCACAAGGAGAAGTCACTCTCTCCTTTAAAATTTCCCCCCAGGATGAGCCCTGTGTACGGTACAGGTTTTATCGCCGCTTTAGTTACAAAAATGGCGGATCACATCGTCAATATTTGTTTAAAACGTGCGTGTGAATCCTCACGCAGAAGAACGCTGAGAGTTTTTAAGATTGTTATACCTGAAATGTCTTTTGAAAACATAGAAGGGATCCATGTATTTGAGCCACCCGGGAGGGATGTTAGAAGAAATTTCCATATTCTAAATTTCAATGTATACTGGTGAAAAAAAAAAAAAAAAAAAAAAAAAAAAAAAAAAAAATCCGACCTACCCTACCTATTCCTTGAGAGCATGTTACCCTAACAAATCAATTATTTTTTTTAGGCCTAAGCAAAGTCGTTTACTTATTGTTCCCGGGTAGGTAAGGGGAGCTACTCAAGGCGTCCCAACAAGATTAACATGCTATGCTTTAAATTCTGCTGTCAATATTTTAGATCCGTATATTAAAGATCCTGTATTTTTGCGATTGATATTGTTACTGTGTGTATACCACACTTGCAAAAAAAAATGCAACACAAGTTTAATATAGGACGCTTTTTCTAAATATGCGGATCTAAAAAATCGACATGTTAAACTTGTTGGTATGCTGGGAGTAGCTCCCATGTACCTACCAGAGAACAATTTGTAAACAACCTTGCTTAACAATAAGTCTTCCAGGCATGAAATAAAACATTTTTCGGCAGTAAGTTGCAATAAAATGATAGTCATTGCAGGCAAATTCGGGCTGCCGTATAGGGGGAAATTTCGGCTTTGAGGGGGGGGATTTTTCCCCGGCTTTGAGGGGGGAAAAAACTATTTTAGTGAAAAAAAAACACTGTATGATAAATGGGAATAACTCTAATAAAAGGCAAGGTAGAGTTATTGTTCTTGCACATAATTTTTGGAGTTATGCTCCAGACTAAACTGGGACAGACACACGGACGGAGACCATTTGCACGGGGATAAAAAAAGGCCTGTTTGGGGATAAAAATTATCTGTCAACAAAAAAAGTTGACCTTTTTAATACCATTGTACATTTTATCTTTCTACACAATGTAGACTTAATGTATCACTTTTGTAAACTGTTTCAATATTCAAGCTCATGAATTATTTGATTTGATGAGACATGTTAAAATTCAAGGTTTACTTTTGCACTATCACTGTCTATAAATTAGCTTTCTTTGAAGACTTTAAACATGATTTTATTTACAGTTCAAACCAAGTTATATTTCACCCCCAATCAACTGATCCTTAAATTGCATGTCGAGGGCTCAGCGCAAGACTATTCTAACTCAATATTTTTCAGAAAATGGTTTTTTGACATTTTCTTGTATAAATTCCTTCAATGCATGTTCTGTTAAAAAGACATAATTAATTTCCCACTAATTTTTAAGTTTTAACACATTTTAAGAAAAATATTCTATCTGGTGATATAATATATTCAGTGCAAAAACTAATTCTAACTCAAGTTAGAATAGTTTGACAATCACTTTTTTAAGTTAAAAGCTTGATATTCTTTTGTGCAAGACTATGCTAACTTCAAGTTAGAATTAGTCTAGCGAAAATAAAAAGATGCTGTTAACAGGAGTTTTTGCTATTTA